CAAGCTAAGCTCTTCTCTATATAATCATACAGTCAAATAATTAAGAAAAAATATGAATAAAGAACACATTAGAAAATAGTAATCATAATAAGATAGCTAATTATTATATAGTATGTTGCTTATTTACAATGTAAAGATACTTTATGTTAAATGTGATCATTTTAAACCTAATAACATGCTATGATGTAGATACTACTATTATTATCCCATCTTAGAAAAAGAAAACTAAGTCACAGAGGGATTAAGTATTTCCCAGAATTAGGTTAACTCTGGGAATGTAATTAATACCACAGAATTGTTCATTTTATGTTATGTGAATTTCACTTCACTGAATTATAAAAAAAGAAAAAAGAGAGAGAGAAAGATTAAGTAGCTTCCCAAGGCGGGTAATCATTAAGTCTGTACTGTCAACATTTGTACTCTACTGCCTCTCAAAATAAATGTGATGATGGAGGAAGTCAAAGAAAATATTTACGATGTATGAAATAGGGCAAGAGCAGTCAGATGATCATACAATGATTATATAAGGAAAATTATGTAATATTAAAGAATTCTTAGAATCTGAACCTTATTGAGATCAGAAAAACATCCTATTATTTAAATGGCTTATACAACAGAAATAATGTTGCAACATCCAGGTCTTACCTTGGGTCTACAGAGAATGGCTTAGCACAGTGTTTTTTAAACTAAAGGTTATAACCTTTCCATGAGTCGTGAAATCAACTTAGTCTACCCAATATTTAAAAAGAGAATGAAATGGAAACACAGTAGAACAAATGGGAACCCAAGTACACATCTCACATGGTAAAAACTGTACAGGCAACTTCTATTCCTATTTTATGAATGTGTAATGAAGTATGTCTCTAAGTACTGGTTCATGAAGTAAGCTGTATTTTTTTTTTTTTAACTATGGATCATCCCACAGGCTTAGCTACTTTAGTCATAAGATAAACACAAATGCTTGTTGCTTCCTTACAAATTTCAGGGATCTCTTGAAAAGTTCCCACACAATTAAACTAGGAATAATGTGGAATGGGGAATGATTTTCCCAAGTAACAGTGTAAGTTGCTTAATAAAGATAGACCTTTGGGTCATGTCTCAAAAGCATTTTGAATATCATTTCTGGTCAGTATTTCCCCAGTAATGATTTAAATAAAGTAAGTGTAATTAAAAGAGTAAAGATAGAATGTAAAATAAAATAGTCCAGCTGTTTCTAGCTACTGTGGAAAAAAAGCTTGACAATGGCTCAAAACCTTAAATATAGAATTACCATGTGACCCCCACAATTCTAGACCTAGGTATACACCTCCTCTAATTGAAAGCAGGGATCCAAACTTGTATACATGTGTTGATAATACTATTTACAAGATCCAAAAGGTGGAAAATGCATAAATGTTCTTTAAAAGTTGAATGAATAAGACAATTGTGGTATATATAAATAATGAAACATTGTTTGGCCTTAAAAAATATAAAGAATATGCTACAAGGTAGAGGAAGCTCCAACATATTATGCAATGTGGAAAAAGCCAGACAGAAAAGATCACATATTGTATGATTCCATTATACAGAATAGTCAAATCTACAAAGATAGAACATAGATTAGTGGTTGCCAAAAGCTGGGAGTGAGGTGGTGGGAATAAGTGCTTTATGGATAAGGGGTTTCACTTTGAAATTACGGGAATGTTTGGGAACTAGATAGAGGCGCTGGCTGTATAAAGTTGTGAATGTAACTAATACCATGGAATTGTTCATTCTAAAATGGTTAATTTTATGTTATGTGAATTTCACTTCACCAAATTATTTAAAATCAAGATTATAGGCTGACATAAATAGTGATATAAATATCCAAAATTTGGAAGACAAATTTGTCTCAGAATATTAGAAGCTGAATAAAATGGAATATATTTTTGTTAAGAAAAAGTTTTAAAAGGATCATAGAAAGAGTAATTCATCCATACAAAGTAGAGGCTAGAGGAAAAAATGAACTATAGATAATTCAGAGCAACATCTGTAAGAGAAAATTGACATGTACTTTCATAGAAACATTCCGTAAAAAGTCAAATTCAGCAAGAGTGGAAATATTATTCTTAAATATGAAGAAAAAAATAAGGAAGAAAATGAAAACTTTTAGACAGAACTTTGGACTTGAAGGAAGGAGAAAACAAACAAATATATATAACAAATCTTCATGCAAAAAAAATATAGGAGGTGGAAATAAGGATGTGTGGGGAGATGAAGTGAAGCTGCTACTTCCTTTTCTCTTGAAGGAAATAATTTTTACTGTTGTTATTACAATATATATCTATTGGAGGAGGGGGTTACTAGTGGTATCCCAGTGCAGGCTGGATAACCCCTTGGAGAGCAAGCTATGGAGAAGGATGGCTGTCTGGACTAGTTTGAGGTTTTCAAACTGTGAGAGCAGAGCTCTAAAGGTCTTCCAGGCTGGTAGAGTAATGGAATGTGGGAAAGGAAAAAAGTGGAGCTGCTTATGTCCCAGGCCTCCATGTGTTTCATTCAGAACAGGTTGATTTTTACCTTTTAAATATTGAGATGTCATATAAAAACTTCACTAGAAAAAAGTTCTCCTGCTAAAGAAAAGTCTGAGCCAGGCACAGTGGTGCATCCCAGTTGCTCAGGCTGAAATAGGAGGATCACAAGTTTGAGGCCAATCTGGGCCACTTGGTAAAACCATGTATCGAAATAAAAATAAAAATAGGTGAGGATGTAGCTCAGTGAGTGGCCCTAGGTTCAATCCCAGCACTAAAAAGGAAAGGAAGAAAGGAAGAAAGGCAGAGAGAAAAAATCTGAAAGTCATTGGACTGGATCAAGGATTCTTAAACCTGGCTGCTCAACAATTACCAAAAGCTTTTCAAATTAAAAATCCCTAGGCCACATCTCTAGGCCTAATGCAAAAGTACTCTCCCAGGGATTCTTGTGCAGTCATCCCAAAGCTAACTCTCGGTGTTTGAGAAGCACTGGACTAATGAACCCTTGCTTTCCCAAGAGATGATGACAAGACAGAAATTTAAATAGGTAAGCAAAAATTTCAGGCAAAAGAGCTGTAGGTAGCAGCAGATAGGAAAAGAGACAACTAAATCACTAGGGTTTAATGAAGGAGAAAAAACAAAAACAAAAACAAAACTAACCTTGTAAATGAGGATCTTGGCTAGAACTAGAAATTTCTCTGGAGATCTCTTTGCCTGGAAAAGGGCCTATTTTCTCTCACAACCTACAGTAATTGTCCATACTGGTAATGGTGATCAAAATGATTTAATTTACTCTTTTTAATTTCAAAAAAGTAAATTATATATGCGAGCCACATATATAATTTAAATTTCTAGTAGCCATGTTAAAAGAGTAAAGAGGTAAAATGGATTTTAATAATATATTTTATTTAACTCAATGTATCCAAAATTTCATTCATTTCAACATGAAATTCGATATAAAAATTGAATAATTTACCTTTTTTAATACTAAATTTTCAAAATCTTTCAGCCCACCTTAACTCAGACAAACTACATTTTAGAGTGCTCTATAACCCATACGTGGTTAGTGGCTACCATACTGTACACTATATGACTAATTAATAAAAGATCAGTAAACTTCCTTTTTAATCTGATATTCTGTTGGAATAAAAACATTAAAAAAGTCCCCAAATCACTTTCCCAGTCTTATAGACCTGCCCCAGAGGTAGACTGATAACAAGTTTTGTCTGGAGCTATCACATCCCACTTTGCATTTCCAGCCCAGATACTTTTTCTCCCTCTTCCCAGCAGCAGTCTGTATTCTGGACATTTTTTACCAGATTATCCTTTTCTCAAAGCCTATTTGAATGTTTACATCTAAATTCATCATCTTTTTTTCCAAAATAAAAAATCAGTTAACTTCTTGATTTTCTTAGCAGTGACCTAAGTTCAAAACTTCAAATTCTTCCTTTTCCTTTATTTTGTACAAGTACCAAGTTCTATTTATTCTTCCTTCACGAGCTCTCTCACTAGCTCTCTCTTGCTTCAAGTTATCCCTGCTGATATGTCCAGCATATTGTTACCAAATATGTATATAATCATTTCTCCTTGGTGGCTCTATAGTATCTTGTACTTCAGCTATGAATTTAGGACCATGCATAATCTTGCTCCCATCCTAACATCTGGCCTATATCATTCCAATCTTATCTTTCAATAGTCTCCTAGATGTGCTTTTTCTTTTTTTAAGCCAAACTGCCCTGTTTATTGTCTCCTAAAAATGCCTTGTACTTCCTCATCTCTGTTTTATGACTTTCTTCTCATTCAGAATGCCCTTAATCCAGCTCTACCTATCCAAATCATTAGTCAACAAATATTTCTGTGTCAGGCTTTGTGCCAAGAATAGGAGGCAGAATAAATAATCCTAATTTTAGTTCTGCTCACTCTAAGAAGCCTTCCTGACTATGCCCATACACAAATTGTTTTACATTACTTATTTGTTCTTCATAAGGCTTATGTCCTCTATAACACTCACTGGGCCCTTATAATTTACTGTTTGGTATTGTTGATTATCAGCTTTTCCTATACATACCTATTTACCTATCTTCCCAAATAGTGTTGGATTCTCTGAAAGCAGGGACTTTCCCTGATGCTTAGGAAGCAGCAGATGCTGTATATACAATTTGCTGATTGACAATAATTTGTAAAGATGAAGGGCCTATGAGGTGAGAGGAGGACCCTGCCTAGGAAAGAGCCTCCCACCCAGTCTCTACCCAGTAATACACTGGCAAGTCAGGATCAGAGGAATGGAGGGAGGACTGGCTTAAAGCACTAGGGAAGTTCCACTTTTCCAATTTCATTAGCAAAGCAATTTAGAACTAGAAACACATTAAGTCAGGACTGGTTACCCTTGCTTTTCTCTACAACCTAAATAAAATCAATAGTTTTAAAAATCCTTTCTTGGTACTAAATTTAAATAATATCACTGGTGATATTTAATAAACATTCATAATATCAGACCTAAAAAAGAGAACTCACCACATATTGTGCTCAAAAACTTTGGCTGGGTCAGTTAAAATTCTTGATCCCAGAGGGGCCACTGGGTGGGAACCACTGTGGCATCTGTGTGGCACCTTTCTTAGTCTTAGGCAGCAAATATAATTTCTCCAAATCACATTCATCCTCAGCAGTACCTGCAAAGTCACAAATAATTAGTCAGTATGGACTAAATGGTATATTGCTTAATAGTCAAAACTGGTTCCTATAGGTTTACAACCTCAGAAAGGACATGGAAACCAAACATCTAAAAATGAAAGATGGGTACGATAGTGCCTCTTCTGAATTACTCTCAGGCCAAAAGAAAGGAAAGTTTAGGGTGGGTAATATTGGCTGGAATTTTTCATAAACTACAGCCTCCACCAACTGTGCTTTGTTGGGTATGTGCTTACTTAATTTTTAGCATGTGGCCAAATTACACAAGCCCAAAATCTGAATTTTGCATTCAAAAGACAGTTTTTTAAAAAAGATTTTACTATTTTGTTTTGGGAATTCTAGGAAATATATTTCTAGGAGATAGTTCAAGACCAAAAACCCCAAGTGTAGTGGCAAAATAAGAAAACAAGCCTTTATTAAATCTCATTCTTCATATGGAACTAATACAAAAAATTATTCAAATAAATAAATACCATATTAAGACAGGATCCTAGCAATTCTTAATATTAACAATTCTATATACATATATTTTTTGAAGAATAGTCAGTAATATGGTTGCATAATGGATTGCCCTATATAAAATAAAAGCTTTAATCCTTGCCCACGAGAACTGCTTAGTTGATTAGCCCAAATCTTGATCCCAATTTTGGAAGACTAATTGAAAGAGTATGACATCTTGGGCTGGGGTTAGCTTAGTGGTACAGTGCTTGCCTACCATGTGTAAGGTACTGGGCTCGATCCTTAGGACCACATAAAAGTAAGTAAATAAATAAATAAATAAAGGTATTGTATCCATCTGTAACTAAAAATATATTTTTTAAAAATAGCATGACATCTTTTATGTACTGGTAAATATATCACTTTAAAATCTTTATGGAAAAGTGTTTTGTTTTGTTTTTAAGGAAAATAAAGACATTATAAAGAGCGTGGCACAGTGGCACAGTGACTCTGGAGGCTGAAGTAGCAGGATGGCAAGTTTGAGGCAGGCATGGACAACTTTCCAAGACTCTGTCTCCAAGAAAAGAAAAAAAAAAAAAGCTGGAGATGTAGCTCAGTGGTATGGCACTCCTGGGTTCAATCCCCAGCAAGCAGATGATGGTAGTAAGGAACTCTAGAAGAGCTTTCTTTTCCCAATAAGTATCTATTGTAATGGTGTTCAGCATTTCAAGTTGTTCATCACAAGATTCAGCCTGGTGCTGTAAGCTGTCAGGTAGAAACAGATGCTGAAAGGTGTGTATACATAATATGCATTAAAGGCTATTGGAAGTGCTATTAGGCATAAAAATGCAATGTATTATGCATCCTTTGCCTTTCTGAAAATGAATGGATTTAAGACTGGGAATTCCAAAATGAACTGCAGAAAATTAAAAAAAAAAAAAAAACAACATTTCATTGTGCTTTTAAACATAAAATTCAGGATTTTGCCTTTTGGAAAAAAAAAAAAAGGAGGGGGTAAGCTTAGTCATACACACCAAAAGGACTGCAATAGTTCACATGTGACTAACAGTGATGAGAAATGAAGCATTCAGTAGCTGGTGCAGAAGCCTGTTTCTTGTTTATTTTTCTTCTCCACTAAATGCAAGTTCTTTGGTGGAGCAAATGAAATAAAATGCTTCACCTACTATACCTTTACCCTGAAGCGCCTTTGTTCTTTTTGCTAGCCAGTGTTCTACTCACAAAATGCTGCCTACAAAATTATTTTTAGATCTCTTTCTGCACTGAATATTATTCACAAAATGTTGGGTATGCTGAAGAGTAGAAACTGATTACACATAGAAAGAGAGGCAATTCATGCTCACAAGGCTAAAATGATGTAAATGTTTCTCACCAGGAAAGTCAAATTGAAATGAAATTTTAATCCAAATAATCATGTGATACTTATCTATAGCTATATATAGAAAAAGAAAAGAGAAGAAAAAAGGTAAGAGTTTTTCCTCATTATAAACGATCAAGAACCTCTGTAGACAGTCAGAGGCTAAAAAAATAGATAAATAAATAAAACCATACTGTTTATTAGGAAATTCAAGAAAATGTCAGAGAAATGTATGCCTTGCAGGCTGCTAGTCTGTAGAGAGAATCCTTTGTGGCCAGGGCCTAACATGGTAATTTCCTTGGTTAGGCAACTGTTTCTCTCATTAACCAAACATCTTTATCTACTTCATTTATCTATAACAGTCACATACAGTATTGTATTGCTATTTATCTTTTAAATTATACAAATATATAATAAATTTATATAATATAAAATACAATATAGATTAATACATAATAAAATCATGAAAATGCCTTCTCAACTAAATAGAAAGCTTCTGGAGGCAACACAAAGCTGCTCATGAATTAAATGTTTGAGTGATTACATAAAAATGATACTTGTCTGACATTTAATTGGAAGGAAATTCATATTCTCACTCATAAAAAGAGTGACAGTATACAGGCAATGATCATGTTATATTGACTAAAATATTCTACAAACATGTTTTATGATATGTTAAACGTAAGGTTTACCAGGTCATGGTTCCATGTTGGAATGGGAAAAGAAAGGCAGAACTAGCACCAAATAGTTCTGGTAGTGAAAGTTGGTTTGCAGTACCACAGTGACCCATTCACTTTATGTGCCTCCCTTAAATTCTCTTGGCATACTCTAATTTGAATACAAGTTTAAGATATTATTCACATAATGAAACCGTGTGCCTAAATAATATTTTTATTTGAAATGATACACAATAGTATAGTTTAAAATATTTCATTGACCCAAAAGAAGGCAGTAAAGAAACAAATGGAATTTTTTAAATTACCAAAGTTTATTTATTTATTGCAGTGCTAGGGACTGGACCCATGACTGTATACATGCTAAGCAAGTGCTCTACCACTGATCTATAGCCCCAGCCCCAAGATGGCAACAATATTAAATGTAAATGGATTCTAACTAGCAATAATCAAAAGAACACTATACCTAATGACAGCAGAATGCTCAATCTCTTCTTCACATGAACCTGCAACATTCACCAAAATAGGCCCTTTTTGCTGGGCTATAAGACAATCTCATTAAATTCCCCAAAACCGATATGTTTGAAATAAACAATATCTAGAAAAATTCCCAAATACTTGGAACTAACCAACATGCTTTTAAATAATCTATGGATTAAGACCAACTCTTAAGGGAAAATTTAAAAATATGCTGAACTGGGGCTGGGGTTACAGCTCAGCAGCAGAGCACATGACTGACACTTGCGAGGCACTGGATTCGATCTTCAGCACAACATAAAAACAAAGAAAATAAATAAAGAAAAGATATTGTGTCTGTATTAAAAATATCTTAAAAAATGTTGTTTGATCTTTAGCATCACATAAAAATAAAGAAATTAAATAAAGATATTGTGTCCATATTAAAAAAATCTTAAAAAAATATGTTGAACTGAATTATAATCACAAAATATCAAAGTATATGGGGTGCAAGTAAAGCAGTAAAGGAAAATGTACCATTTTTAATGCCTCTATTAGGAGAAAGATCCCAATCAATGATCTCAGCTTCTTCTTTAAAAATGGAAAATAAGAAGTAAACTAGATCCAAAGTAAGTAAAAGAAATGAAATCATAAAAAAGAGGAAATCAAGGAAATAGAAAATAGATAGAACAGGGAAAACGAAAACCTAAAATTAGTTCTTTGAAAACAATAATAAATTTCTAGCAAGACTAATTTCAAATGTGTATTTCAGAAAACACAAATTTCCAATAATAGGAATGACCCAGCAATACTGAAAAGCTAAAGGTTGTTATGGATAATTTTTACTTTATTCATGACAAACACTTTGAAAAACACAACTTACTGAAACAACACAAGAAAAAATTTAAATAGCACTAAGTTTATTAAGTAAGTTCAATTTGTAATTTAAAGCAAAATAAATATCATATCCATCAAGATGGCTATTAAAAATCAACAACAAAAACAGAAAATAACAAGTATTGACAAGGATATGGATAAAATGGAACTCAAACAATGCTGATGGAATGAAAATAATGTACCTGTTATAGAAAATAATATGGGGAACCCTCAAAACATTAAACATAGAAATACCATATGATCCAGCAATTTCACTTTTGAGTATATATCCAAAAGAAGTCAAAGCAAGGGCACTGAGTAATTTTACATCCATATTCAGAACAGCATTGGTCATAAAAGAAAAAGATGGAAGGAAAACTCAAGTGGCCATTGAAAGATAAATGACTAAGAAATGAAGCAATATAAACTTACGACAGAGTATTATTCAACCTTAAAAAAGAATGATTTTAGCTGGGCTCAGTGGCTCACACCAGCAATCCCTGTGACTGGGGAGGCTGAGGCAAGAAGATGCAAGTTCGAAGCCAGCCTCATAAGTGTAGCAAGACCTTCAGCAAATTAATGAAACCCTGTCTCAAAATTAAAAATAAAAAATATTGGGGATGTAGCTCAGAGATAGATGCCCCTGGGTTAAATCCCAAGTAACCCCTCCCCGCAAAAAAGATGATGATGATGATGATGATGATGATGATGATGATTTTAGTGCTGAGGACTAAACCAAGGACCTCGTGCATGGTAGATAAGCACTCTATACCCCTAGCCCAAGAAGACATTTTTGACATAGGTTATAATATGGATGAATCTTAAAGACAATTCTAACTCTGTCATAAAAGTACAAATACTGTATGATTCTTTTTTATGAAGTTTCTAGGGAAGTCAATAGACAAAAAGAAGAGTGATGGTTGCCTGTGAAGGAAAAATGGGAAGTTGAAGAGTTTAGTAAGAACGGGGTAGGGGAGAGGAAATGGGGAAGATGTAGGTTGAAGGATATAAAATTGCAGATATGCAGGATAGACAAATATAGAGAGGTAATGTACGACATGAGGGATACTGTCAATATTGTACTGCATTTGGGATTTTTGCTAAAAAATAAGTTATCTTGATATACACATAGAAAAAGAGGTAACTCTGAGATGATGCATAT